CAGGTGGACGGATCAGCGCGGGTAGGGCAGGGAACCTAAGGACTGAGGGGCAGGGCTGGTCTGGGTCCCGCCCCCAGTGCCTGCGACCAGAAAAAGGAGATGTTTACAAGTCTAAGAACCTGCTCTGCCGGGCCGGGAACCTCTCTGTGGGCCTCCTAAAGCCCTTCTACCCACCAGTGGTTAAAATCCAACCTCAGCGCCCAATTAGAATGGAACAAACAGAGACACTGTGGAGGCAGATGCTCCCCTCTGAGCCAAAGGGGAGGGGAGGCACCGTGCTCCTCGGTTAAGGCCTAAACTACCCCAGACCCCTTGATGGGAAGAGTAACTGGGCACTCTATGCGCAGTCATATTGCTATTACAAATGCGGAGTTCAAAGGTGAAACTTAGGACAGTCTGCTGTTTAACCCTGACCTTGAGTTGCCCACAAGCAAAATTTAAGAGCACCTTGCCCTCTGGGGGTTGGGGTGGCAGGAGATAAGCAGCCTACGCCCGGGGGGTTCAGGAAGCCACAGAAAAACAGGAAGCACTAATTTCGTTCAGCAGCACAAAGTTTCAGAGGACATATTATGGAGCAAAACGCAAACTTGACATGACTTTTTTTTTTTTTGCGGTACGCGGGCCTCTCACTGTTGTGGCCTCTCCCGTTGCGGAGCACAGGCTCCGAATGCACAGGCTCAGTGGCCATGGCTCACGGGCCCAGCCGCTCCGCGGCATGTGGGATCTTCCCGGACCGGGGCACGAACCCGTGTCCACTGCATCGGCAGGCGGACTCTCAACCACTGCGCCACCAGGGAAGCCCTGACATGACTTTTTAAGATGAAGATGAGATATCCAAGAACCTTTTCCCAACAGTGGCGTTTGGGCCTATTCTCCAGTGCACGGGTACAGTCACACAGGTCCTGGGGGCTGGCAGGGGGTGCCTCAGAGCAGCAATGCAGCCTTGCTCTGTGGTAGGAGAACAGCACACATAGAACCCCTCCCTGCCAGCTGGGTTTGCCAGCAAGGCCTCCTCACAAGGTTCCTACTGCTGGGGCCTGACCGGCTTCTAGACAGACAGGTTTAGGAACAAGCACAGCAAACACAACACACGCACGTTTCTAGTCAGTCCTGGGAGTGTCACTCCTCCCCTTGAGGAACAGGAACTTTCCTGGGTTTGCCCAGGGCCAGGTCTTGACCCAGGGATTCTTCAGTTCCATTTCTAAGGCTCTCCAGGAAGGTTCTGTTTCCGGTTCAAATGTCTGTATTCTAAGGAAGCTCAGGGAAGCTCATCTTGCTCAGGCCCTGCCCTCTTCAGTCACCCCCTAGCCGTCCTCTGCGATGAACAGAGGGGCCAAGGCAGGGCAGAGGGGCCCAGGACCTCAGCCCTCCACAAAGCTCTAGTAAAAGGGGTCACTCACTGCACAGTTAATCCAGTCTCCACAGCCTTCACTCTGTTCCCTTTCTCTCAGCACTCTCTCTGCTCTCCCACTTCCCCAAGAACAAAGCTGAATCCTGGATGTGGCTGGGACAACTGCAAGACCCAGGGTAAGACTGGGACCACTTCAGACTAAAAATGCACTTCTGAGCATTTTTCCAGGGGGTGAAGGAGCCTGGCATTTCAGAATCTCCAAAAAGCCAGAAGAGTGGAGTTTTCCATCAGTACATGTCTATTCTCTCTGCCTCCCCCTAGGAATCCCTGATTATGATTTCACTGTGTGATGCAGGCAGGAAAAACGGTTGATGATCACTGCTTTTTTTGGCCACACTGGGTGGCATGCGGGATCTTAGTTACCGTGCCAGAGATCAAACCTGTGCCCCCTGCAGTGGAAGTGCGGAGCCCTAACCACTGGACCGCCACGGAAGTCTCGATAATCACTGCTTTAAACCAACCTTATTTGGAGCCTGAACCGAGATCCCCCTCACCACTGAACACCATTTTCAACAAAGTATAAAGATTCCTTTTCCCGTGGGTCTCAGACGCCCCGGCTTGACCTAGCTTTATACTATCGGGAGCCCCTCCTGCTAGCATTCCCTTCCGTGACTGTGCACTAAGCCCAAAGCAGAGGCAGCAAACTGGCAGAGGCTTGCAGATGCCTTTTGTTTAGCCCACACCATTTTTTTTTTTAATGGGAATTAGTTATCAGCATTTAAAAATTGGTTCATTTCATGTAAAAACCCAGACTTCCGGCTTCTCTTAAAATAAAACAAGGGCCATAGCAAGCCAGGGCCAGCATTCCTTCAGAAGCTAAGTGGTGGCTGCCCCCTTCAAACATGGCAAGTGCTACCCATTTCACCCCAGTCCCCACCATTGCCTGCTGTCCCACACCCGGACTTTTCTCGTTCGACCCTGTGGGCATTTAAGTTTGCACTTTGACCTAAGGCACCTCCCGAAATGCAGCAGGACAGGGCTCCTCTTGCTTTGGGGATGATCTTAGAACCCTGGAGACCTGGGTCTATTTCATAGACCCTTGTTCTAGTTCCGTGACTGAAACTGGCTGAAAGTAGAAGAATCATTCCTTTTGAAGGTGCTATCCCTGCCTGCTGGAAAGAGCCATGGGCTTCAAGGCAAGAGGCAAAAATGAAAGGCCTACTGCTTCCTGGGGGCCCCTGGGCTCATCAGAGGAGAGCTGACAGTTTCTCCTCACCCTAATGGGCCTGATGGTGGGACGCCAACAGCTTTTTCCCCTGCCTCTCTTCCCCCATTTACCTACGGCCGCCCACATGTGGCACCCATGCACAAGCTGTCTGTGCTATTTTATTCTGTCTTCTGTGTTTGCTGTGTGTGCTCTGGACGAAGCCTAGCACCATGCCATGACTAATTGGCCACCGGTAGAGCCCTTCTGGTGACAATGACAGACACTGGCTGACGTCAGGGGAACACAGCACAGGTGGAAGGGAGTAGGGTTCTAGTACTCGTCAAAGTCACCTATTGCAAAACTACCATGCTTTTTCCCCAGCAGGGCTTCTGCCCGAGAAAAGTGGGATCAGACTGCTCCTGCAAACCTGAGAATCGTTATATCATCTCAAAGAACCAGGAAAGCTTACCCGAAAGGGAGATAGTAGGACCTCAAATCTTGCAAACCTAGTTTCAGGCTTAACGTCCAAAAGAGGAGAAAACACAGACATTTTTCTCATCTCTTACAACGCTAGGAACCTTCACATGTATCATCTCAATACCCACAAAAATTCCTTAAGTTGGGAATCACCACCGTGTTTTTAGAGGAGCAAACTGTGGGTGACAGAAGTTAAGAAACTTGTCCAAAACAACTTGAGAAGTAAGCAGAGCACCAGGGTTTGTCTGAACCCTCAGTCTGTCACTCGGGCTCTGCTCACAGGCTGCCTCTCCCCAGTCGCCCTCCCACATTTCTCTTTTTTTTTCCGTAGCTGTTGCCACACCTGTTATTGCAGGATATATTCACGTGTACATTTGTTTTCTGTCTCTCTGCCCACAGAATGTAATCCTCCGGGGCAGAGACGCTGTCCATCTTGCCACTGATGTTTCCCTACCTGGAGAACAGTATCTGGAATCTGGGGGACCTTCAGTGTTTGCTGCTGGACTGATGGGAGGGGCAGCTCTATCGGCCTCACCATGCTACTGTCAAAAGTGTTCCTTCCCGTATCTCCTCCTTTCATTCCTTCACCTCAGAAATGCACAACCTCCCTTCAATGAACACCAGTCTCAGAGGCCAAGGAAAACAACATAAAGGTGGCAAATGGGGGACTTCCCTGGTGGTCCAGTGGTAAAGAATCCGCCTTCCAAAGCAGGGGGCGTGGGTTCGATCCCTGGTCAGGGAACTAAGATCCCGAATGCCGTGGAGCGACTAAGCCCGCGCGCCACAACTACTGAGCTCACGCGCCTCAACTAGAGCCTGCGTGCCACCAACTACAGAGCCCACACGCCCTGGAGCCTGCGCACCACACCTAGAGAAGAGAAAACCCACACGCCACAACTAGAGAGAAGCCCACGTGCTGTAACAAAAGATACTGCATGCCGCAACTAAGACCTGGCACAGCCAAAAATAAATTAAAAAAAAAAAAAAGATGGCAAACAGAAGGTCAAATTCCTGGAAATCCAAGAAGATTCAGTTGTGTGTAGGGACAGGCTTGCTCCTACAAAAGCAAAAGTGTTCACACTGAGGCAGAAGCGTTGGTTTATTACAGACTTTCTCCTTTCTAAGGTGGGAAGGCTTGGCTATCCCTCCTTTACACTCATGTTGTTTTGCACGCAATCGAGTGCTTGGATAGCTGGGATGCTGGAGCAACACAGGTGGGGTTAATTAGAAAATAGATGTGGGGCTTCCCTGGTGGTGCAGTGGTTGAGAGTCCGCCTGCCGATTCAGGGGACGCGGGTTCGTGCCCCAGTCCGGGAGGATCCCACATGCTGCGGAGTGGCTGGGCCTGTGAGCCATGGCCACTGGGCCTGCGCGTCCGGAGCCTGTGCTCCGCAACGGGAGAGGCCAGAACAGTGAGAGGCCCACGTACAGCAAAAAAAAAAAAAAGAAAAGAAAATAGATGTGGCACAGAAAGCATCCAAAAGCACAGACCCTTCCCCAAAGTTAATGTAAAGATAAACCAGAGCAGTGGTTCCCAAACCCAACTACCTAGGACAATGGCCCTTAAAGTGTGGTCTCTGGACCAGCAGTATCAGCATCATCTGTGAACTTGTTAGAAATGCAAATGCCTGGGGCTGCCCCAGACAGACTAGAATCAGAAACTCCAGGGTTGGGACCCAGGAATCTGTTTTAACAAGTCCTACAGGTGACTCTGATGCATGCTAAAATTTGAGCACTACTGTCCTTGGGAACTAGACACATATAGTCGATTCTTGGGCCCTGGGGATCCTGAGTCAGTAGGTGTGGGATGGGACCCAGAGATCCCTTTCATAAGCTTCTGAGTTGATTCTGACTTGCAGCCAGATTTGAGAACTACTAAACCTGAGGACTCATCTTTCCCTGGCCCCAAGATAGTGTCCTCAGTTTTTAAACCCCTCTCCCATTATCCCCCAGTCGCTCACTCACCACATAGAGTAAGGATGTGGCTGCTATCTTCATGCACAAACTTCCTGGTGACAGCCTCCTCCATGATTTGCTTCACCTGTGAATAAATGGGCAGCATCGTTATTGATTGATTGATTAATTGATTGACCAAAGGCCTGTGAGCAAGTAAATGGCTTGGCTCTGCTCCCCTGGTCTGGGTTCAGACACCTGCAGAGTAGATGATAGGAAAGGGAGGGGTGAGGAAGCAAAGTTTCTTCTGTACAGATAGCACCAACATCTTGGAAAGGCAACCGGGAAAAAAGATGCTATAAACCCACCAATCAATCAGTACAGATATTCCAACCCAGGAGGAAGTGCCCTGCTATAGAGAACAGGGGTGGGATGCTATTTGCACATCTGTACTTAGCTGCAGAAGGGCCTGTGGGCAGACACACTGTCCTTTACGGACAAACTGTTTCAGTACAGGCTCCAGATAAACAACCTGACCCTCCTTTTCTCCCTTCTCTGAGGGTAGGGGTACACGTCCATCTAGGCCTCAGGGACACTCCCCACATGCTCACAAGCCCAGTCTTCTTTCTGTCTAGGTAAAGCCCTATGTTTGGGTTCCTACCTGGATGTAAAAGCTTCTGAATGCCTTGTAAGGTAAGCGGTCACAGCCTTCTTTAGAAAGCACTTAAAAAAAAAACTTTAAAATTGATGTACAGGGACTTCCCTGGTGGCACAGTGGTTGGGAGTCCGCCTGCCAGTGTGGGGGACACGGGTTCGGGCCCTGGTCCGGGAGGATCCCACATGCCGCGGCGCAACTGGGCTCGGGCGCCACAACTGCTGAGCCTGCGCTCTAGGGCCTGTGAGCCACAGCTGCTGAGGCCCGCGCGCCTGGAGCCCGCGCTCCGCAGCGGTGGGGGGGCACTGCAGTGAGAGGCCTGCACACGGCGGCGGGGGGTGGCCCCCGCTTGCCGCAACTAGAGAACCCCCACACCCAGCAGCAGAGACCCAACGCAGCCAAAAATAAATAATTAATTTTTAAAAATTGATGTACAAATAGAAAAGGGTATATATCATAATTACACAGCTTGAAGAATTTTCACAAATTGAACACACCTATGAAACCAGCATCAGATCAAGAAACAAAACGTGACCAGCACCCTAAAGTACCCCCAGACTCTGCCATGTTTCCTTCTAGTCACTACTTCCCTCAAAGGTACCCACTATCCTGACTTCTAACATCATAGAGCACTTTTGCCGGGTTTTGTACTTTTTATAGATGGAATGGCTCACTGTGTAGTTTTTGTGACTGGATTTCTTTTGCTCCTTGGTGTGACTGTGAGATCTGTTCATGTTGTATATGGATGTGCATTGTTCATTCTCCATTGTGTGAACAACTCCCAATTGACTGGCATTCGGGTAGCTTCCAATTTGGGGCTATTATGGGTAGTGCTGCTGTGAACATTCTAGACATGTCTTTGTGTGAACACGGGTGCTCATTTCTTTGGATTTATATTTTTAGGCAAGGAATTTCTGATGAGTATATTCTATATTATTAGATTTTGCCAAGTTGCTCTCCAAAGTGGTTGTATCAATTTACACTCCCAGCAGGAGTATATGTGGTTCTAGTTGCTCCCAACACTTAAACCATGCACTTTTGATGCCTTGGGGGAACCTGCCAGGAGACAAATACTAATACTGAAGATTAGAGGGATGGATTACCTCAATCCCAACATTAAACCTTACAGACACAGTAAGCTCTGGGAGAGCTAGTCTTTGCCATTCTTTGGACAATGTCCTGTGTCCAGTGTCCTGATGCTGCCCTTGCTCCCCAGACCCTCACTTTGGTTTGGAGGGTGGTAGAGCTTCTGAAGTCTGGGGAGGAGGGAGGAAGGACCCGGAGTCTCCTCCCTGCTGCAAAGTGCTCATGGTTAGCGGTTAGGTAAAGGTGGATCGGATCGATTCTGCACTCTATTTTTTTTAACATCTTTATTGGAGTATAATTGCTTTACAGTGCTGTTAGTTTCTGCTTTATACCAAAGTGAATCAGCTATACATATACTTATATCCCCACATGTCCTCCCTCTTGCGTCTCCCTCCCACCCCTCTAGGTGGTCACAAAGCACCGAGCTGATCTCCCTGTGCTATGCAGCTGCTTCCCACTAGCTATCTACTTTACATTTGGTAGTGTATATATATCCATGCCACTCTCTCACTTCGTCCCAGCTTGCCCTTCCCCCTCCCCATATCCTCAAGTCCATTCTCTACGTCTGCGTCTTTATTCCTGTCCTGCCCCTAGGTTCTTCAGAACCTTTTTTTTTTTTTTTTAGATTCCATATATATATGTTAGCATACGGTATTTGTTTTTCTCTCTCTGACTTACTTCACTCTGTATGACAGACTCTAGGTCCATCCACCTCACTACAAATAACTCAATTTTGTTTCTTTTTATGGCTGAGTAGTACTCCATTGTATGTATGTGCCACATCTTCTTTATCCATTCATCTGTCAGTGGACACTTAGGTTGCTTCCATGTCCTGGCTATTGTAAACAGAGCCTGCACTCTAAACTATTAAAACCTTCCTAGATTACTTCCCAAGGGGTTTTGCATTAAACAGAGCATAATGTCACAGCTCAAAGACCTGCAGGCATCTGAAGCAGGCTGTTGGGGCAGATTTTTGGATTAGGAGGACCTATAGATACCCTGGGAATTCCCTGGCGGTCCAGTGGTTAGGACTCGGCGCTTTCACTGCTGGGGCCCAGGTTTAATCCCTGACGGGGGAACTAAGATCCCACAAGCTGTGCAGCACAGCCAAAAAAAAAAGAATTATACTACAAGTCCTTTATGAAAGGCCAAACTTGCCTACAATTACCCACACTGTCCCTACTTGTAGGACAAGAAAGGATTTTATTTCTCTTGAAATCAAGCACTGAAGGGGGAAGGGAACTAAGAGTTCAGAGCGGGTCAACCTCTGTCAGGTAATACACATAGCTGTGGCATATTCTGGACATTTCTTACATTTGTTTAAGAATCATTCTGGGAGTAGCACAGACAGCCTTCTAAATACTGCCTTCCCCCAAATCTTTCCCATCATCCCTGAACAACCCCAAATTTGGAACACATCAACAATCCTAGCACATGTGCCCATAGTTTGGGTATGGCTACATTTTTGTTCTTGTTTATACTGTTCATATAAGTCTCTGTCACTAGACTATTTGTTTCCTGAGGATAATTACTGAGGTTTGAGATTTGTTTTTTCCTTGGGGAGACCAGAGTTGGGGCTTAAATTCTAATTTGATGTACTCCTGGCCTAAAAAACCTCTCACTTGGCCACTTCACAGCAAAGGCACAATAGAGCTTCTCACACACAGTTGGAAAAGGTGATGGCTTCAACTACTTTGCCAACAGAAGGGAAGGAAACAAAAGTTAGGACACAATAGCCAGGCCATAATTAATGCGGGAGAACGATCTAGAGCCTTCCAGGATTTTATAAGAACCCAGAGTCTTCTCCAGTCCTGAAACTCTAGGAAGGGGTAAAGGAACCAATATGGTAAACTTTTATATATGAGGTGAATATCACTATCCTTATTTTAGAGATGAAGAAATTGAGACTCAGAGAGGTTAAGTAACTTATTCAAGGTCACAAAGAGCTGGTCCAGACTATCCCAAAGTTTATGCATTCCCATCAGACTTTGCAGTCTCCAAGATCAGCAGATTTATTTACCAAATAGTCATTAAGTGCCTATGCGGATACAGAGTTCTGGACAAAACGGATGGGTGTCCTGCCCTCATCGAGTTTACACATCTGGCAGACAAAGAGGTAGGTGGGAGGAGTTCGTGGCTCCATCCAGAGGCCTAATCCATTCTAATCCACTCTGTGGGTTTGAACTCTCCAGCTCTCATTTGCGGGTGAGTCATATGGACACCCCCCACCATCACCACCATGAAATTGAAATGGCTTTTAGGGCAGGGTCAAAGTAAAGGACATTAGTACAGAGAAGGACTTTTTCTCTTTCTGACGTGGGCGGGGGTACTCCTCAAAAGAGGAAAATAATCTTGAGTCTTAAAAACCATTCTCAAAACACCCCCTGGCCTCTGGGTAGGGAGGTGGGCGTGGAGTGAGAAGCAGTGAGGTGTGCGGCGAACCCTCCTGCAGCCGAGACTCGGTTCCCAGAAAGATAACTGAATGGGGTGTAGGGCAAACCGGAGCTAAACCCCCAAGTCACCCGTTTAGCGCTCTAGGAGGCCTGCGAGGGGCCCCGCCCCCTCCTCAGGCGGCGCGGGCAATGAATGGGCAGCTCGGGTTCTCCAGAAATTGCCGCCACCCCTCCCCCGACCTCGGTCTCCCAGAGCTGCTGCCTTCACAGGGCGGGGAGCTGCGGGATCGCGGAGCAAACTAACCCTGAAGCGCCGGCCTAGCCCCTGGGGCCGAGGAGAGCTGCCCCCTGATCCGGGAGTGGGGCGGGAACCGCAAACCAGTCCAGGACCCCGCCCCCGCCCAAGGCCAGCGAGCGCCCGCGCCCCGGAATGGGCGCAGATCTTTCTGTCCCTTGGGCCTTGCGGACAGGGACGCGAGCCCCCGGGGTTCCGTACCCCGACTTTACCTCCTTTTTCACGTTCCACAGCAGTTTCTCTTTGACTGCGTCCTCCGCGCTGCCCATCGTGCGGCGGCTAACGGGAAGGTGGTGCCCAGCGGCCGCCTAAGCCCCCCACGCGCCCTCGCTGCCTCCGCGCCTCTCGGCTCAGCGCCCCAAGCGCCAGGAGGAGCCCCCGCCCGCCGCGCTCCCCGCCCGCCGCCGCCGCAGCCACTGCCCGGTGCTGGGCTCTGCAGCCATCTTCCGAGCCCCGCACCGACGTCAGGAGGCTGGCCCGGCCCCTTCCCACAGCCGGGGGCGGGGGGGGGGGGGGGGGGCCCGCCCCCCGGGGGGGGGGGGCGGGGGGGGGGGGCACCGTGCCCGGGCGCGCGCCACGGTGGCCGTTGTCATGGCAACGCGCCCTCTCCAGCCCCGAGGGCGCGAACCTGCATTGTGAGAGCTAGCAGCCCGCCGCGCCCAGTGCCGGGCGGGGAGGCGAGGCGCGCCCGGCACCCCATGGCTGAGGGGTGAGTCGCTCGGGCCGAAGCTGGCCCCCATCCAGCTAGACGTCCCCTGATTCCTACCCGCTCGTCTTCCCGACGGGAAGGGCCGGGGCCCCCGCGCCTCGAGTCTGGCCACGGGGAAGCCAGTGTTAGTCCCCTGGCTGGGAGAAAGGCCGCGGAGCGCCATCGTTTCTCCAAACACCTCTGCCAGCCGGGCGCCCTCAGCTGCAAAGCTTTTGGGAAGAGGAGTGGGAGCTTAGCAGCCCCCGTCTGCAGAGGCTCGGCTATCCCCAAGGGCGCGAGAGTCACGGTCAGCCGTCCCTCCCCCGAGGGGTCGCCACGTCCCGTCTGGCCCTTCACACACACACGTGGGAGGTGGGGGCGCAGCTTGGAGTGACTGGGACCAGCAGGAACTTGTACGGAATCTGTGGAGGTGAGACAAGCGCCTTCTGCACGATTTGCCTTGTAGACTTAAGCAGCCCCACCTGGGCACTGAGGGCGAGAAAAGGTTGCTTAAAGTGACAAAGAACACCTGCTGCTGCAAACTGAGGAGCGGCGTGCACAAAGCTAGGTGAGAGGAGGGGCTTAGCCCTCTATCGCACAAATGGAGACTCTCCCTAAGTGATGCAACCTGATAGCGCAAAAAATAAAAATACAAGGGAGCAAAACAGCTCTCCGAGACTGAAAGCCCAAACCTCGAGTCTACATCCAGCGTTTTAAAGCCCGCAACAGCGGACCACCGCCTGGTGAAAGTTTACGAGCAGGTTTTGTGGAAACTCGGACGCCGTGCCCTCAGAAGCGGGTGGAAATAACCCTCGCGGGAGGACACGAGGAGCCTTGCCCCCCGGGCGAGGACACGCCCCCAAGGCGGGGACCGGAAGCGCTCGGTTCGGCCCGGAAGTAGTGCCGAATTGGTACACGTGAGCGGCAGCATGGCGGCTCATCGCTCTGGCCCGCTTAAGCAGCAGAATAAACCTCATAAAGGCGGGCGGCATCGGGGTCGGGGATCCGCGCAGCGGGACGGCAAGGGTAAGAAGGTAGGGTTGGAGGAATAAGGGATGTTTAGTCGATATTAACTGCTTTTCTTCATGCCCAGAATGAGCTCCTACCTACTCCGGCTTGGACCCCCCGCAAAGGCTCTGAGGAGAGCAGAGAGGGCTCTCCTTTCTTGACCTGCTAGTGCCCTGCGCAAGAGCCTTTTCTGGTCTCCCTACAGGCCGTCTAGCACTGAAAACCCTAAGCAAGAAGGTGAGAAAAGATCTCAGCAAAGTGGACCAGAGGCATCGTGCCAGCCAGCTCCGAAAGCAGAAGAAGGAGGCGGTGAGAGGACGCGGGATTGGGGAATGGTGTGGCTTCACAACCGTTCTAGGCGGGTAATGCCTCGAACTAGAAAATGTGACCCTGGGAAGGGGCCAGGGATGGAGAGTAACCCTAGAGCACGTGTCAGGCGTGCTGGCCCAGACTCATGCTAGAGCATTCTTTGCTTTGTTCCTAGCTCCTGCCCACCTCCTTGGCATACATGACACCTTTTACAAGAGAGATGCTGGTTGGAGGGTCGGGGTGGGCATCTGTACTGGTGGAAATGCAGTACTGAAACAAAGTACTGAAACATTGAGATGTTCTCTGATCCTTTCTTTCCTCAGGTTTTGGCAGAAAAGAGACAGCTCGGCAGCAAGGATGGCCCTCCTCATCAGGTACTGGTGGTTCCCCTGCACAACAGGATTTCCCTGCCAGAGGCCTTTCGACTGCTTCAGGATAGGGACACTGGAACAGTGCACTTGAATGAATGGGGAAGCACCCATAGCTTTATGCTGTTATGCCCCCGCTTGAAACATCGGTGGTTTTTTACATCTGCAAGGCCAGGTTAGAGCATACAACAATATTTTCTATCACTATGTTTTGCGTATTAGTGGTAATATTTTTTTTAGTATAATGTGCTGATGTCAACCACCTCTTCCTACTGACTTTGTCTTCTGTTTCCAGGGGATCTGCACACTGTGTTAGACATGGCTAAAGTGGCTGATAACATCCTGTTCCTCCTTGATCCACTAGAAGGCTGGGATAGCACTGGGGATTACTGCCTTTCCTGCCTCTTTGCTCAGGGCCTTCCCACCTATAGTAAGTGAGTTGGGAGTATTGGAGGCCAAGGAAGGAAGTGAATTAGCATGTATAGTGCACTTACAATTTGCCAGACACTGTGTCTGACGCTTGATACTATTGGAGGGTTGTACATGTATGGCCTTAACTTGGTCCATTGTTTACAAGTTACCTACCAAGATGTCTTTTTATTTCTGGACTGCCCATTGCCCAGAGAAAGAAGAAGAATGTGAAGTTTGGTTTTATTGTGAAATTTCTTTAGGGTAGCGGAGTGTTGGGTTTCCCAGTGATCTCTGGACTCACAACTGAACTGTTAGCTTGTTTGTGAGCCACAGGGGGGATTTTCATATAGTGAGGCAACAAGTCATGATACCCTTTCTCTTTTGTTCACAGCATTAGCTGTCCAGGGAGTTTCGGGCCTCCCACTGAAGAAACAAACAGATGTCAGGAAGAAGCTAAGTAAAGCAGTGGAGAAGCGCTTTCCTGATGACAAACTCCTCCTGTTAGACACTCAACAGGAGGCAGGGATGCTGCTCAGGCAGTTGGCTAACCAAAAGCAACGGCATCTTGCCTTTCGAGATCGGCACGCCTACCTATTTGCTCATGCTGTTGACTTTGTGCCTAGTGAAGAGAATAACTTGTTGGGCACCTTGAAGATCTCAGGCTATGTTCGTGGGCAGGCTCTGAATGTAAATAACTTGCTGCATATCGTTGGACATGGTGATTTCCAGATGAAACAGATAGATGCCCCTATGGACCCTTTCCCTTTAAATCCTAGAGTGATCAAATCCCCAAAGGACCCAGGCATGGCAATGGAGGTAAGATTGGTGTTCTTAAAAACTATGTATTGTAGATTCACGTGTAAGCTGGCAGAGGATGGGAACTACAGAGAGGGTGGTCTGTCTGCACGCTTGAACAACTATCCTAGTCCCTGGAGGTAACGGCTAGTTCGAAAAAGGGCAGTAGTCAACTACAAATAAGTTGCTATATCATATACTTATCCAGTACTTTGTAGATGCCTTGCATAGCAATTGGCTCTGGATTTATAGAAGGCACACAGGTTGTAGTCTCTTTCCTTAGACAACTTAATTAGGTCAGAAAAAAATGGCAAAGACCTGTGAAATAAAGATTGAGAAAGCGTGGTTGAGGTGCACACCTGCAGTGGAAGTTGAGAAAGAAGACTGGCAAGCTTCACAGAAGAGATCAGACTTGAGCCAGGTGTTGAGAAGGATGAACGTGATTTATGAGTTGAAAAGAGATGGAAGAATATCCTAGCAAATAAAGACAACATGAACCTAGGCAAAGTGATGGATCAGAGGGTTTCTTTGAACTCTGAAGATAACAGCTTGATGGGAGTAAGGTATGTAATAAAAAGGTAGGCATGAGACCAGATTATGCAAGGTCTCAAGAGCCAAGCAGAGGTAAAGACCTAGAATGGTAGGAAATAGAACCATTTGAAAAATTCTGACAAGTTTTCACTTTCTATTCTATTTGAGGACTGTTATTTCTAGATCTTTCTGGTTATTATGTTAGATTTAGTCGATTTTTGGCTAATATTTAATTGACCATCAACTGTTTGGGTTTTCAGATTTGTGCTACAGATGCTGTAGTTGATATGGAGGAAGACCTGAAGGTCCTAATGAAGGCAGACCCTGAGAGACAAGAATCTTTGCAAACAGAGGTTATCCCAGATCCAATGGAGGGGGAACAGACCTGGCCCACGGAGGAGGAGCTGAGTGAAGCAAATGGTTGGTATTGGCAAACTTGAAATTCTGGCCTAGAGTTGTGGGTTTTGTCTAGCTGCTCAGTGAGGACCTTATAAGGTAGAGTAGGATGAGGAAGTATTTGGAAGTCTTCTCTTACCTCCAAAGGCTATGTGTTTTCACTAAGCAAACACTGGACACAGCTTTACTTCGTTTCTCAAAATTACTTACGTTATTGTTTCCTAATGAACAGATAAACAACTTCTGATTTATTATAGGACTTATTTAGCTGTGTTAAGTATTGCTAGTTCTGAGGCAGCTGAATTAAATTGGGAAGTAGTCTGTTCTATTTATAGTGCCTGCCAGAGTTCCTGGTATTGGTAGCAATATGTAATATCTTGCCTATGTGAGAATGCCCAAAGTAATAGGGGAGGGAAGGAGGTATATAATTTACTTAACTCATTTGGGCTTTTACAGACTTATTGAAGGAAACTTCCAAGGTAGTAAAGAAGGTTCCCAAAGGAACATCCAGTTATCAAGCTGAATGGATTTTGGATGAGGATGGCGAAAGTGGTGGGGAAGGAGATGAGTATGATGATATAGAACGTGAGGATTTTATGGAAGAGGAATCTCAGGTAAGGAAATGGGCCCTTGGGCAACTTCTGTATACAGCCCCAAATGCAAGGCAAGGTGCATTCCTGACCTTAAGGGGTATGTGTGGTCAGTTTCTTAGGAATGACTTTGTTGCCGGGAATGAGACTTTGTTTTATAACTTAGTCTCTATTAGAATTGATACTGGTTTGGACTAGGTATCTAGTAGAATTATTTTAGCTCGATGGCCTTTAAGGTAGAGATATGAGTTTCCTCTGAAATTGTAATCCTTCGTTCTACAGGATGAGGGTAGTGAAAAGGAAGAAGAGGAGGAATGTGAAACTATGACTATAGGAGAGTCCGTGCATGATGATCTGTATGATGAGAAAGTGGATGAAGAGGCTGAGGGAAAAATGCTGGAGAAACATAAACAAGAAAGACTGGAAGAGATGTTTCCAGATGAAGTAGATACCCCCCGTGACGTGGCTGCTAGAATTCGGTTAGTCAACAAGTCTAAGATCAATCAGTATGTTTTTATTTTAAACTTAACGTGGCTCAGAACTATGTCAGTGTGATGTAAAAGAAGAAAAATACATTGTTCTTGCTCCTGAAGGGCTAATACTATATGGGAAGGTAAGACAGACATACGGGAAACAATGTTCATATTCTAGACTGTGTAGTACAGACTAATAATGTTACAGTACATTACTGAATGAAATGCTGTGATTAATGCTTCCTTTGGAGCTAAGACTCAAAGTATATAACATTTGGAGATTTGGGGAAGTTTGGGTAGAACAGTGAGAATAAAAGAATGAAGATGTAGATGATCCTGTTTGCTCTAAAGGTGAGTCCAGAGAGTTTATGCTGGATATTAGAGAGATAAGGCTTTTATCGAGGATCTTGCTAGTCAGGTTAAAGAGCCACTCCCTGATATGCACCAGGGGGCCGCTGTAAATACTTCTAAGAAGCTGGGGTATGGTGCTGAAATACTTGTTTCAGGCTGTTTTGGAGTGTGGTTCTGATTTAAGCTGTTAGGTTATTTTGAGAAATAGTGAATTCTTTTAAGCTAAAGCCTTAGGCATTTTATTTATTTACCTATTTATTTTTCAAAAATTAAAAAAAAAATTGTTCTTCTTTTTTTCTTGTTTTTTTCTTCTTTTTAAGCCTTAGCCATTTTAGAAGTGAGTTGAGTGAAACGGTTAAGTAGCACCATATAAGTTTCACTATTGATTTATTTAAAATATCCTCTATTCTAGATTTCAGAAATACAGAGGCCTCAAGAGCTTCCGGACATCTCCATGGGATCCTAAGGAAAACCTCCCTCAAGATTATGCTCGGATCTTTCAGTTTCAGAACTTTATTAATACTAGGAGACGCATCTTTAAAGAGATTGAAGAAAAAGAGGCTGAAGGAGCTGAGGTATCTGCCTTCCTTTGTGCATCCCTATAATTTGTTTTTGTTTGCCAAGGTGCCCCCTCTACTCCTTCTGTTGGCATGAGTACCTTAATTAGTTTTGTGCTGCCTACAGCTGAATTAGAGGAGCTACTGAGTCATTGGTAAGAGTGATATTGGGAACAAAGAGGTATCAGACATATTAGCTGAAAAAGCTTAATCTAGGTAGTTGAGGCATCTGTGAAGGGCTGTCTTGAAGGCTGAGGATTGGCTTTATGGTAGTCTGAGAGACTTTTTAACATGTTTGGATAAATGCTTCATCATTATTGAGACCTTAAGGGTAATTGCATGATTGTTTTCTGCTTTCTTCTGGCAGGTTGGCTGGTATGTCACACTTCATGTCTCTGAAGTCCCTGTCTCAGTGGTTGAGCACTTCAAGCGAGGTGCACCCTTGATTGCATTTTCTTTACTACCTCATGAACAGAAGGTGAGTTAGCATCTTGTGGGAAATGGGAGTTATGACACTTTCCAACCAGTTTTGTCTGGCAGTCTGAAGTTTTATGTGACTGACATTTTGCTCATTGGGATGCAAAAGTCTGCCCTTATGATTAGAGGTCAGAGAGGAGGACAGAGAAGTCGATGGTGGTTTTACCCAGCATGTCTGAACCTGTCTGATACATCTCAGTGACGTGAACTCTGTGTGGTTCTGAGACTTCTCTGAGATAAGTACGTTTGTCAGGTCACACTTTAACAAAGGGTTGGCATCCATGAAAATAAACAGGGCTACTGCCAAGGTATAGATCTTTTTTCTCTTGATGGCCAGCAGTCATGTAGGTTGGGGTATATGTGAGAGCTCTGGCCTTTTGGTCACTGTGAGTCAGGGTTGAGGCAAGAAGGGTCTTGAATGAGTGTGGTTTAGAGGTGTGTGATGAGTGAGTGGCTTGTAGGCACCGATTTGGTGGCAGATGTTGAGCTCTTGGATGTTAGACATGGGGAGGTCACCTAGTGTAGCAGGGACATGAAAGCTCTGAAAACCAGCATATTTTCGATTTGAATGCCAGTTGTTGGTGAAGGTAAAAGGTGAATTTGTGTCTCTTCATCTACACTCCACCATAAATTAGTACTGTCAATTCTTAGAGTGAATCTAATCTGCTGGTTTGGTTTGCCCTCTTGCAGGTTAGGCTATTCTATTCCTGATATGAAGTTCTGTTTTCCTATTTGGTCCCCAGATGTCAGTTCTTAATATGGTGGTGAGCCGGCACGCTGGCAACACTGAACCTGTGAAAGCTAAAGAGGAGCTGATCTTCCACTGTGGATTCAGGCGCTTCCGAGCCTCACCTTTATTCTCTCAGCACACTGCAGGTAAGCAGTAGGGAAGCTTCTGGGTTCTTGTCCATCTTACTGTCTTTTAGGGACTGAGATTTGGGGAGAGATGCAGAATACACCATTTCAAACTCTCAGTCTCTGGGTTAGAGGTATTTTCAGTACTCTGGTGTAGGAGCCAATGATGTTTCCATTCAAAGTGTCTGAACCTGTCTGAAGCATCCCAGTGATGCAACCTCTGTGTGGTGCTGAGGCTTCTCTGCCATGAGTATTTGCTGCAGAGGAGGTTTTGGATAGGAGTTGGCTGCTTCCTAGAGATGATGTGTCATGGAACCCTTGGCATCCGTTGTGCCAGTGGCCGTGTGGGTGAAGGCTAGGGGTGCCCTCAGTTGGATAAAGCAGAGTGTGTGGCTTCTGAGATGTTGAGACTGCATGAGAATTTAGAGAGTGGTGACCAGGAATACTTTTATGACAAAAAATGATTGTGCTCTTACGTATTAGGAGTGGGAAGATGTTTGCGTTAACTTGGGGGCTTCTGAACGCTACCTACACTCTCCACTCTCAGCAGTGGCCGGAGGAAGGTGATAAAGGCAGCATTAACGGATGCTCTGGGTAATGCTTCTCTCACCAGCCGTGCTGTCTAAATGAAGGAGTAATTTCTCCTTCCCTTCAAATATTCTGTTTCCCTATAACATTCACTATTAAAAAGGGTTAATACTGTATTAAAAAGGGTTTCTGTTGAAGGTAAAGACAAGATCTAGATAGTCCCCAAGAAGAGATTAGTAAAGTTTGGCCCTTGGCCAAATCTGTCCCACTGCTTGTTTTGTTAAGTAAAGTTTTGTTGGAACACAGTTGTGCTTTCTTGTTTAATTTTTTAAAAATGTCTGTGGCTGTTTTTGTGCTACAGTGAGAGTTGAGTAGTTGGAAGAGAGACCATATGGCCACAAAGCCTAAAATATTTACTATCTGCCCGTTTACAGAAAATGTTTGCCAATCCTTGCTCAAGACTAAGAGCTGTTGAATTAGTGAAGTGTTTTTCTGTAAAGCACTGGTTCTCAAATGAGGTAGGGGTGATGTGTATCAGAATCACCTGGAGAACTTTTTCCAACTCCAAAATATAGTTTAAGCTCCAAGATTCTGCCTCCAGTTGAAAAATCACTGATAGGATTGGGTTGTATCTTTCAGTTGTATCGAGGCCAGAAAATGTTTGGAGAATTAGTGGGATAAAGAAACACTAGTTGCCTTAGGTTTAAGAGTTGCAGTAATACCGCTTTTCACAGGCCCCTGGATTACCTATTGTTTCTCAAAATATTTTTTGGTTTTTATTTTTTTAACCTTTATGGCAGCGGATAAACATAAATTTCAGAGATTCCTGACTGCTGACTTGGCTCTGGTGGTGACAGTATATGCCCCTATCACTTTTCCTCCTGCATCTGTGCTGCTTTTCAAACAGAACAGCAATGGTAAGTTGAGTTCACAGAGGTGAATAGGCCCGTGGGTTCTTAATAAGATTAACTGCTTTCTGTATTTAAATTTGGGGGCCAAATGGCACAAAAAAGGTAATGATGATTTTCAAAATATCCCAATCTCAGCCTCATATTGGGTCTGAGGCAAGGATGACGAATGGGGTTTTATCTTGCTTGCAAACCATAGCTAATTGGTAGAGGCTGCTCAGAGTGCTGTATTTAGGGTAGGTTCTGAGGATAGGCTCAGCAGGAATATCACTTAGTGATCTTTGCCATGAACCCAGGAGGGGCAGCATAGTACATCCCTATTTTGTTTCCCTAAGGTCTCGCATAGGTCTTTAAATAGACTGGACAATAAATGAAGGCTTTGACCTATGGACTCCTGCTGCCCTGCTTTTGCCCCTTAGGAATGCACAGCCTCATTGCCACAGGCTATCTATTGTCAGTGGATCCAGACAGAATGGTCATCAAGAGAGTTGTTCTGAGTGGTCATCCTTTCAAAATTTTTACTAAGATGGCAGTGGTGCGTTACATGTTCTTCAACAGAGGTAGGTGCGACAGATGGGATCCAATTGCCTTTGTGGGATGAAGGTTGGATTTGTATATTATGGATAAATGTTTCATCTTGGTCTTCTGTGTGTTTGATTCTAAGAGGATGTGCTGTGGTTTAAACCGGTGGAACTGAGAACAAAGTGGGGCCGTAGGGGACACATCAAGGAGCCTTTAGGTGAGAGAATGTGGGATTTGGGATCTTGTCTAGATTTCCCCAGTGCTACTAAATGACTGTTGGGTTAGACCACTGCTTTACAATTTCCTATTGAATTTGACCAACTCGTGCTGTTTTCTTTGTAGGTACTCACGGCCACATGAAGTGCAGTTTTGATGGGAAGCTAAAATCTCAGGACACAGTACTGATGAACCTCTATAAAAGAGTTTTCCCCAAATGGACTTACGATCCATATGTACCAGAACCAGTACCTTGGGTGAAAAGTGAGATTTCTTCAACAGTGCCTGAAATGGACATGGAATAATGGATTCAGTGGGATTCTGTCTCATTGCTACTAGTTAGCACTCTAGGGTTGGGAGCCTGTAGGTTGTGACTGGGCAGTTTATGTTTTCTACTTAAGCCTACTTAAGGTCTGCTGCTCCTTTTAGCAGAAGACTTTTCTTGGCCTTGACAAGGTATCTCAGTTAAGTATGGATGTTTTTCTACTGCAAGTTAGTCCAAAAAACTATTAAAACTTACTGAAATATACATTCTCCATTAGGATTTTGAAAGCTCTTTAAGAGGGGAAGATAGGAAGTTGACAATGACCAGGAGACAAAATTTCCAAGTGTCTAGACACTGAATCCCTTTTCTTCCTTTTGCACATATTAAACAGAAACAGATTTCTAAAGAGCTGGCTTTTCAGCCTGCTTCACCCAAGTTAGGGAAGTTAAGTCTACATTTCCACCACTGAGCACAATACAAATGTTCTTTACTTCTGCGGAAACTGTTTGAAAATGCTGAGACAGCACAGCGGCCACTCCAACACCAGCTGTAGGTTCAATAAGCAATTTCATCCTCTCCCACACCAGCTGGGTTGCATACTGTTGGTATAGAAAGGAGTAAGAATTAGTGAAATGGGAAAAGGGGAAAGAGCCTAGTTGGTTGGCCTTTATAATTAAAGGCCAAATGGGGATATAATATGCCTCATCTGAATTTTCCTATTGCTATATGTTTGTGCTTGCCAATGAAGAGCAGGGCTTTTTTCATTCCAACTCTGCTTCTACGGTCTTAATACATCTAGGGCACCCTCCTATGTGTCATGAAATCACCTAGTTGAGTCCCTAGTGGGTGCGTTGCTACTTACAACAGGAGGGTTTTTTGCCTAAGAAGTTGCTCCATTCTTTTGTTATCTCCTTCCCTCTTGGGGCCTCACCTTAATTTCATCCTCTGTGACAGTGAAGACGTCATCCACGAGGTCCCTTATAATAGGCCAGGTGTTTAAGCCAATGCTGGATCTGACACCATCTGCTATGGTTTCTGGAGGATAGGGATTGGGGGTCAGTTCCCCTTTCAGTTTGGACTGGTAGCAGTCATCTGCATTCAAGGGTTCAGCAGCATATACCTTGACACTAGGTCTCAGAGCCTAGGAAGAGGAACATTAGATAGCTTACAACCAGCCACAGCGTTTGGCCTGCATGCTTGCAGTGAAATGGTTAGTACAGTTAACATATTTCTGCCCAAGAGGCTTTCTTTTAATCGATATAATGGAAATAAGGCCTTTAAGCACTTGAAATTGTTTTCCACTCTGGCCTCGGTTGCCTAGATCACAGCTGGTTCTGCTGGTAACTTGGGAAAAGAGTAGCCACTGACTTGGATAGTAGGTTGGTAAGATGGAACTCAGAGGACTGTGAGGGTGCCACTCATTGTAATGGCTTTTGTGCTGTAAAGTTTTCATTAAGAAAAGGGTAGTGAGGGACTTCCCTGGCGGTCCAGTGGCTAAGACTCCGCGTTTCCACTGCAGGGGGCACAGGTTCAGTCACTGGGAACTAGGATTCCGCACGCCGTGCGGCCAAAAAAAGAAAAAAGGGTAGTGATGAAGAGAAGGGCCTTCTGTCTCAAGTGCCAAGGGATGATGAGAAGGAGTGGCAATTTGGGGGAATGTTGAGCAAGTATTCACAATGTACTATGATGTAAAATAAACTCTTCTATGCCTGAAGTAGGGAGTCCTTCAGAAGCTGTTTTCTTACCTTAACTGTAATTGCTATTCCAGCAACCATTCCTCCTCCTCCTACAGGTACCACCAGTGCATCTACCAAGGGAACCTTTAATGAAAAGAATATAAAGTATAAATAGGTCTATTAATAACCATTTTATATGTACATATAAAATAATTGGTTCTACGGCCAAACAGCATTACCAGTAAGTGGCTAAACAAGAACTAACTAAGCTTTTACCTGGTTTAGGACTTCCATGGCAATTGTCCCTTGCCCAGCTATCACTGCAGGCTCCTGGTTGGGATGTACCATGATGCCTTCTGTTTCTTCCACAATTCTTTTTGTAACATTTTCTCTGGACTGAAAGAGTACATTAATTTAGCTTACTTTATTTGTATTTAATAGAGTTCCCAACACGTTAGATTCAGTCATTTAACACTTTATTTGCCATCTACTTTTTTCAGAATTTGTTTTGGCACTGGGGATATAACCGAACAAAACAGTCCCTGCACTCAGTGGAGTTATGTTCTAATATGGTGAGGAGGGGTGGGATATAAGTAAATATATGGTATGTCTAAATGCTTTAGAGAAAAATGAATTTATTTTATATAGGGTGCTCGGGAAGGGCCACTGGTAAAGTGACATTTTAATAGATTTGAACAAGTCCTGTGTACCTCCAGAACATTCCAAGGAAAGAGTAACAGCAAGTACAAAGACTACAGAGAGCAGTGCTTGGCTTTCGGAGAAACTAAGTGTGGTTTGTGTGGAGTGTTTGGAGGAGAGTAATAGTGGGAGATGAAGTCAGAAAAATAGAAATGGGCCAGTTCATCTGGGCCATAGATGATTGCAAGAACTTTGGTTTCCACTGTGTATGAGATGGGGAACCACTGGAGGATTTTGGGCTGACAGACACATTCTGACTTACCAAATGGATAGCTCTGGTTGCTCTTTTGGAAACAAGACTCGTGGGGCAAGGGTGGAAGCAGAGGACCAATTAGGAGGCTACTGAATCTAGGTGAGGACTGACATTGGTTTGAATCAGGGTGGTGAAGGTAGAGGCTGTTAGAAGTAGTTGAATTGGGCTTTTCTGGTGGCGCAGTGGTTAAGGATCCACCTGCCAATGCAGGGGACACGGGTTCGAGCCCTGGTCCGGGAAGATCCCACATGCTGCAGAGCAACTAAGCCAGTGCACCACAGCTACTGAGCCTGCTCTCTGGAGACTGTGAGCCACAACTACTGAAGCCCACGCGCCTAGAGTCCGTGCTCTGCAATGAGAAGCCCGCGCACCGCAACAAAGAGTAGCCCCCACTCACTGCAACTAGAGAAAGCCCGCGCGCAGCAACAAAGACCCGACTCAGCCAAAAATAATTAATTAAAAAAAAAAAAGTTGGATTACGGAAATATTTTGAAAGGACTAAGATTTGGATGTGGGGTATCAGAGTTATCAAAGATAACTCCATGTTTTGAGGATAATGAAGGATAAAAGTTGCCATTTACTGAGATGGGGAAGACTGGAGGTGGAACAGTATCAAGATGAGGAGTTTGGTTTTAGACAGTAAGGTTGAGATGCCTATTAAGGCACCCAAGTGGGAATGTACAAGTCTGGTTAAGAGCAAAGTTCAGGGCTGGAGTTAGAGTGTAGGTGATATTTTAAACTATGAGACTAATGAGATCATCTGAGTGAGTGTAGGTAGAGAAAAGGTCGTGCGTGCCAACACTTAGAGAAACAACAAAGGAGACAGAAGCTGCAGCCAGTAAGGTAGGAAGAGAAGTTTCACTCTACTATGAAAGCTGTGAAGGTGGTACTGAACATTGCTCTCTTCCTTACCTCGTCGCTTTGTTCACTGTATACTATAGAGGCTCCATAGCCTTGTATCGCCAATTTTTTACAGTTGGGAGCTGTTTCGGGCACTACAATATAAGCAGGAATCCCTGGGAGGGAAAAGCGTGTTTGGTTAGTACAAATCAGAATTTAGGATAGAAATTTATGTTCAGTTTGCTTGTAATCAGGGACTTGGAAATTTATTCCCTCAGCTATCACCAACCTCACTGAAAGTTAAGGCTGCTTTTCCAGTCCTCTCTGATGAGCCTACCCAGTACCCTGGGAAATTAATCAAGTACCTTGCAATTTGGCAGCATAGGAGAGAGCCTGGCCATGGTTTCCACTGCTGTGAGTAACAACAGCTTTGGGCTTCTCTTCTGAAGTGGCAGAAATCAAGCCTCTGATTGCATTAAGGGCACCACGAATCTGGAAAAGAGGAATGGTGAATTAATATATTTGATTAAAAATTCTTTTCAAAAAACCAAGGAGCTTTTTTACATTTTTCTCTTCCAACACTGCACATCCACTCCATGACTAAATCTTATTGAGTCTATCTCCTAAATATCTCATGTTCATCTTGGCCACTACCTTGGTGAGGCCTCATTTCTCAACTTGGTATCACCAAATCTCAGCTGATCCTGCCTCAAGGATTATTCTCATCTAATAGTTCCACTAGATTAGGAAAGTGAGCTTTTAAAAAACGTTACCTTTTTCATTGATTGCCTATTTTTGTAAGAAAAGTACAAATCCCTTACAAGCTGCAGCCTTTCTAAACATATCTACCTCTACCGTTGTAGCCATCCTAAATTGCCTCTAGTTTCCATCCTACCAGGTTAGCTCACAACTCTGTACCTCTTGGCATGCTGACACCTCTACCTGTAGTTCTTTTCCCCCACTCCCTGATCTGGCTAAAAGTACTCATCCTATACAACTTGGATCAAACAACACCTGGTTCAACCTCCTTGTTCTCCCAGGCAAAATTAGGTACTTCATTCGTTTCCATGGCCCTTGTTTGTAACTCGTTTAAGACACTTGTCATCAACCCATTTCGTCTTCCCCTGCAAGTATGGATATGGGGCAAGGCCTAGTGTACATATACCTAGTATAGTCGGTGAAAATAAGTGCTTGATGCATGATGAATGAAAAATAAACGATGGCAGAAGCAAAGGGCAAAAGAGAATGGAGAAGTTTTTGTTTGTTTAAAATAAAGGTTCTCAGTTAATGGGTATGGAAAAAGGTAAATTCCTGAAATCCTAAAGCTACCACTTAATGGGTACTAACAATACCTGTTAGGCACAGTGCAAAATGCAGCTTTTCAGATTTTTACCTGAATGGATCTTAAAGTTCAACTAACGGTCAGAGAATTCAGGTAACAAATCAGCACAGAAATCTATCTGTATGCATAGGAGAGGCACTGACGTATTTTGTAGAAAAAGGTCCTGTTATATGAGGGTTGAGCTAGGGTTAGATCGTTTATATTCATAATAAGGTATAAACAAATAGTAAGTTGACAAAGTGAATGCTTAAACTTGGCTATATACAGGGTGATCACACGTGTCCAGGTTGATGACTGTGGTCTTGGCTTAATCGTTAGAAGTTCCCCCTTTTCATTCTCAAACATGTCCTAGTCTGGATAGTAAATTATATGTGATCACCTTAATTATACGGAATTTTGAGATTGTGTAAAAGTGGCTCTTGTCAATGCCATGATGCTAAGTAACCAGGACTTGAGCAAAGGAAAATTTCTACAACACTTTCTTTAGCTGTAAAAAGATACTAATTGTACCTACCTCACTGGGTGGTCAAGAGAATCAAAGTGGCTTGAAAAGAAACATGATACACTATCAAAAGAGATTGTTACCTTAAAAGATCCAGTTTTCTGGAAGAGTTCACATTTGAAGAAAAGATTGCGCCCTGTTACTTGATTCAAAATGGAGCTTGTTAGCACTGGTGTGAGGTGGATGAAATCTCGAATGTTGATATGTGCTTTCTCAACATCAGCAAAGGAGATGCAGTACTGATCACACATGGTTCTGAAACCCAGGAATAAGAGAGGGGTCAAAGCAAGCCTAGACGATGTATTTAAAGTGGATTTTGCAAATGCATAACACAGACCCATGGAATGTACACCACCAAGAGTGAACCATAATGTAAACTATGGACTTTGGTGCTAATGGCATGTCAATGTAGGTTCAGCTGTAACAAATATACCACCCTGGTGGGGGATGCTGATAATGGGGGAGGCTATACATGTGTGGGGGCCGGGAGTATATGGCAAATTTCTGTTCCCATCAATTTTGCTGTGAACCTTAAACTAAAACAAACAAACAAAAAACCCAAAAAACAACCAAACAAAAATCTTAAGAAAAAAAAAAAAAAAGCATAACATAGGAAAATAGACTCAGGGTCTGTGGTGTTAATGTGGGGACTGTCTCCATTACTGGGGTCCAGAATCTCTGCATAAGGGAACTTCTCTTGAAGCTGAGTTTCTTGGTGTATAAGTTTGCTTTGTTGAAACCTCATAGGAGATAACTGGTGATGATTATTGAAGGCTTAAAGCTCAGCCCTCACCCCTACCATCCATCTCTTGGCACTGCCACTGGTCTCTACATTTTCATGACTGTGAAGCTTGAATAAACTGGGTTCAAAATCTGCTACAAATTTTTATTTTAAAAAAATATTTCACAATTTACCAAGGGGAAAAATTGCCTACAATCCTACCATCTTAATAAATTATGTTCACTATGTTTCCTTCTGTTTTTTCAATATACATATATGACAGTTAAAATCAAAGCATAAATAACATTTTTACTCCTTTTCCATTTGGCTCATTCCTCAAAGTTTTCATAATTATAATTTTCAGTAACTGTATTATGCTTCCACTTTTTACTATTTTTACTGTAGTGTTTAAACATGAAGTTTCTCTTTATTTTTCCTTATTAGCAAAGGTAATGTATGTTCAATAGAAAAACAATTTAATCTGCTTTCCTCTCCAAAGACAATTGCTACCGAAGCTCTGTTGTCTCTCTTTCCAGGCCCACATACATATGCAGACAAAACTTTTTTGACAGGTTAACTTGCTTTTTTCGGACAATATATCTATCAATCTTTGCTTATCAATAAATATATTTATGTGACTTTATTTTTATTTTATTTGATGTGGAACATTTTTTAAAGTCTTTATTGAATGTTATAATATTGCTTCTGTTTTTTTGTTTTGTTTTTCTTGGCCATGAGGCATGTGGTATCTTATCCCCGACCAGGGATTGAACCCGCATCCCCTGCATTGGAAGGCGAAGTCTTAACCATTGGACTGCCAGGGAAATCACTATGTGATTTCTAGTGAAATGACTTACTAGTACTTCTTTTTACAAAAATACCATAGTTTTAGATAACTCTGTTGTTGAACATTTAGATTTCCTTTTTTTTTTTTTTGGCTATGATAAATAATGATGTAATGAACAGCCTTGTTGCAAGATCTCTGTTTATCTCTATACATGCTTTGAGTAGATTCCACCAGTGGTATTTTACATTAAAAGGCATACACACTTCTAAGGCTTTTGATACCACTGCCAAACTGATCTCCAGAAGAGTTACAGATCATATCAATTTATACTCCAACAGCACTTTCTAAGGAATGACTATTTTCCTTCACCCTTACTGTATAATTTTTATCTGTCAATTTAATGAAGTATGTCTAGTAGTTTACATTTCTTTAATTACTAGTGACTGAACTTTTTTTTTATTTTATTGAAGTAAGGTTGATTTGCAAAGCGACTCAGTTATACATATACATACCTTCTTTTTCGTATTCTTTTCCATTATGGTTTATCACGGGTATTTAGCATAGTTCTCTGTGCTGTAGGACCTTGTTGTTTATCCATTCCTTTTTATATATATATAAATTTATGTATGTATTTATGGCTGCGTTGGATCTTCGTTGCTGCACTCAGGCTTTCTCTAGTTGGCGGCGAGCAGGGCCTACCCTTCGTTGCGGTGCCCGAGCTTCTCATTGCTGTGGCTTCTCTTTTTTTTTTTTTTTTTTTTTTGGCGGTACCCGGCCCTCTCACTGTTGCGGCCCCGCTCCCGTTGCAGAGCACAGGCTCCGGACGCGCAGGCTCAGCGGCCATGGCTCACGGGCCCGGCCGCTCCGCGGCATGTGGGATCTTCCCAGACCCGGGCACAAACCCGTGTCCCCTGCATCGGCAGGCGGACTCTCAACCACTGCGCCACCAGGGAAGCCCCAAGATAAGGCATTTTTAAAATTAGATTTTTAAACTGCTTACTGATGATGTATATGAAAGCTAATAATTTTTGTATATTTATCATGTAATAGGATACTTTACCAGATTATCTTGTTAGATCTAATAGGCTTACAGTTTATTCTCTAAACAATCATGCTATCTGCAAATAAAGATAATGTCTTTACCTTAAAAATGTACCTCTCGTAACTTTTTCAATGACTTCATAGTTACTGGTTTATATGGATTTGCCATCTCCTCCTGAATTAATTTCAGTAATTTTTTTTTGTAAAATCACTTAATTTAAAATTTATTAGTAGAAAGCTGTACATATTAATATTTCTAAGTATTTTTCATATCTGTGGTATTCATTCATTCAACAAATTTGAGCACCTTCTGTGTCAGATACTGTTTGATCTAGGGATATAGTATTAGAAAAGTAGACTTGTTCCTCCTCTCAAAGATTACAATGTATTGGAGAGGTGTCTAACAAATAATCCAATTAAATATGTATTTATAAACATTGATGTGTTAACTTAGGGAAGTGTATTATGATAGGATACTATAGTGGGAGGCCTTATTTAGATCAGTGAAGGAGGTCAATGAAGACCCTCTATGTAGAACTGAATTTTTATTATTTTGTGAATAGTTTTTTTTTTCTTGAGAAGTAAAATTAAATTATAACCTAAAAGATGAACGGGCAGAGTAGTGGGGAAAGTGTTTCAGATAGAGGGAATATTATGTGAAGGCTTTAAGGAGGTAAAAAGATTGGCATTTTCCAGGAATTAAAAGGTCAATGTATCTGAAAATGTGATCAATGTGAAATGTGATAAGAGATAAGGAGAGTGAAGTTGGCAGAGTCTAGATCATAAGGGACCATGACTCATGGAATTTTTTTTTGGCTGCACCTCACAGCATGCAGAACTTCCCAGACCAGGGATTGAACCCAGGCCCCCAGCAGTGGAAGCGTGGAATCTTAACCAATGGACCACCAGGGAAGTCCATGGATTTTTTTTTAAGAGCAATAAAATGCCATTGGACTTGTTACCAGGGGAGGGGGCGGGGAGGGATAAACTGGGAGATTGGGACTGACATATACACACCACTGTATATAAAATAGATAACTAATAAGGACCTACTGTATAGCAGAGAACGCTACTCAATACTCTGTAATGACCTATATGGGAAAGAATCTAAAAGAGTTCACTTTGCTGTACAGTGGAAACTAACACAACATTGTAAATCAACTATACTCCAATAAGTTTTTTTAAAAATGCCATTGGAGAATTCTGAGCAGGTGACATGTTAGAATCCATATTTACAGAAAATCACTTGCTACATGGCAATGAATGAAAAGGAAAGAGAGAAGAGTGGAATCAAGGTATCCAGTTATGAAGTATTACAGTTGTCCACACGAAAAACAACAGGGGGGCTTGGATGGTGAAAGTGGAGGTAGAAAAAAATAATCATTCAAGATACATTTTGGAAAAACAAACCCATCAAAAAATGGGCGAAGGACTTGAATAGCCATTTCTCCAAAAAAGATATACAAAGGGCCAACAAGCACATGAAAAGATGCTCAACATCTCTAATCATTAGAGAAATGCAAATCAAAACCACAGTGAGATACCACCTTATGCCTATTAGGATGGCTACTATTTTAAAAACCCCCAAACTGGGAAAATAACAGGTGTTGGCAGGATGTAGAAAAACCGGAGTCCTTGTGCACTGTTGGTAGAAATGTAAAATGGTGCAGTTGCTGTGGAAAACAGTGTGGTAGTTCCTCAAAAAATTAAACAGTATTACCATATGATCCAGCAATTCCACTTCTGGTTATATACCCAAAAGAATTCAATGAAGGTCTCAAAGACATATTTGTACACCTATGTTCATAGCAGCATTATTTGCAATAGCCAAAAGGTGGAAGCAACCCACGTATCCAGCGACAGATAAATGGATAAACAAAATGTGATATATACATACAACGAAATATTATTTAGCCTTAAAAAAGGAAATTCTGACATGTGCTATAACATGGATGAATCCTGGGGATATTATGCCAATTGCAATAAGCCAGTCACAAAAAGACGAATACCATATGGTTACACTTATGTGAGGTACCTAGAGCAGTCAAATCCATAGAAAGTAGAATGGTGATTGTAAGAGGCTGTGGGGAGGAGGGGGCAATGGGAAGCTGTTTTTCAATGGGTACAGTTTCAGTTTTGCAAGATGAAAAGAGTTCTGGAGATTGGTCGTACAACAATGTGAATGTACTTAACACTACTGAACTGTACACTTAAAAATGGTCATGATGGTATATTTCATGTTACATGTATTTTACCACAATTAAAAAACACACACGCACATACATTTTGGAGATTATAATTAGTTAGACCTCTTGGTTACGAGTGATAGAACCCCAATTTTAACTGGCTTAGGCACAAGAGGGAGGTGATGAGAATTTACTGGCTCATGGAATCCAAGGAAGAGTTGAACCATGGGAAGGGCAGGAACATGGCACATCAGGAACAACTGGAACTAGGGACTTCGAGATTTTCCAGGACTTTCTCATTGTTTCTCACCTCTGCTGCTTTCTGCATGTCGGCTTCATTCTTTTCACTGCAGACCAGCTGGTTCCGCATGGCAGGACACATGGCTGCTGACAGCTCCTATGTTTTACATTTTACGGCTTCCAAACTGGAGAGGGATTTTCTTTTTTTCTTAGTTTCAGTTAAAAAAAATTCTGGGTAGGGACTCTGACTGGCCCATCTAGGCCCAGGACCAGTGGCCAAGGGTGTGAGGTCATTTAAGACAATACTATGCAATAGAAGTATTTACAGAAACATGAAAACAATGATTTCTATAACACAATATCAAATATGTACATTTAAAACACATACATATATAAAACAATACTATATATTATTCAAAGATACATGTATATCCAAGGACATATATCCAACACATTAGAGTGGCTACTGAAGGAAGAGGGAAGGAACATGACTGGGAATTGGAATGAAGGAAAAAAAGACAAAATGAGAAAGGCCTTGTTGATGATAATGTGAACTGAACAGCAGGACTGCCTCAAATCTCTGCACCTGAGGGAAAAATAGGAGCAAATGAAGGGAGTAAAAGAGGAAAGAAAGGAAAAAAGGAAATAGACAGAAAAAGGAAAAGAGAAAGTACTTCTGAGTGAGAGTAAGGGACAGTTTTCAAGAGAAAAGGAAGGTGAAAATGTTGAGGTGATGAACTCCATATGTCACCACTACAGATATAGAAGAGACATATCCTGATATTGGATTGAATGTGGGGACTGAGGGAGACGGAGGTGTCAAGGATAACTCTTGGGTTTTGACTTAGATGGTGGTATAATTTACTGAGATATAAGGCTGGCAAAGAAACAAATATTTTAGGGGAAAATCAGAGATTTGATGAGCTAAGTTTGCATTACCTAGGAAGCATTTGGTAGGATATCTTGAATTTTCAAAATTTTTTGCCAGAAATGTGTCTATTTTAATGTCTATTTCTGAAGAATGAGTGCTTCAATTTATCAAGTGCTGTTCTTTTTCCTTTATTATTTCTGATTTTATCTTTATTTCTTCTATTTTTATTTTCTTTTTCTACCCTTATTGAATACGTAGCTTATTAATTTTCATTCTTTTTACTTATTTATTTATTTATTTGGGTGTGCTGTGCAGCTTGTGGGATCTTAGTTCCCCAACCAGGGATCGAACCCGGGCCCTTGGCAGTGAGAGCTTGGAGTCCTAACCACTGGACTGCCAGGGAATTCCCAAGATAACCATTTTAAAAAGTTCGGTATGTATTCTTCCACATCTTTTTTGATGTATTTATACAGAAA